CTGCTGGTTTGCAACAGGAGAACCTGTGAGTACCTCCTGTGCCTGGCTGCTATGCTAGGGTTAAGTCAGTGCCCGAATCAAGCCTTTTAGATACTGCTGCTTGCTTCTGTTGGCTGCAAATACCTCATGTTTCACTTACAGTCTCAGTTCATGGCTTATGTAAGCAGATAGGAACTTCTGCTTCCTTGTGCCTTAAAAGCACATTTCTATCCCTCATGATCACAGGATAAAACTCAAACACATGATTTACTTGCATTCTGGTTTTCCAGAAGCAAACAATAAATAAAATTAGCCTGCTTAATAGTGATTTTAAGCCAGCTGTTTCTGATGCCTGATTCTGAATTTTTAATGGTCCTGCAAGAAAGTTTTTGGCATGGCAACAGAAATGAAGGTTCCAAATAAATACTTTCCACCTCAGCAGAGATTCATCAAGGCCTCCCTCCTGCAGGAGATTCTCTGGCCATCCATATTTGCCTTGGCTGCACCAGTAAAACTGATGTGTGCAGCAACACCTACCTCACGGGCTAGAGTCAGACCTACAGCTTGCTACAATCATTTGTATCAGATCTGTTTTTTTAACTAGTCCAGAGACCTGGAGGTGCTAGAAGTTACTTTTTATAACATATCTGCAGGGCTCAATTATTACCTTTCCAATAAGAGGAAAAGGGGAGGGGAAGAAAGAGGGAGAAAGGGAAGAAGAGATTGAGGACACAGGTATAATTTCAGTAGTATGGCAGACTGGTAAAATATCAGTCACAGCAAAAAATACAGGCTGCTAGTAAGAAAACCAGGAACAGAGCACAAACTGACCTCACTTCTTATTCACAGAGTTTCATGCACTTAAAGGCCTCTTATGAAAACCATATTTCTGGTCATTCTGATTAGGAAGTCTGATAGCCTGTGGCATGAACTTCTTGCCAACAAAGGCTGCACTAAGTGATAGGGGAAAGCAAAAAAAGCCTGTACCATTTCTAGGAGCTGCTTGTAGCCTCTTGCAAGCAGTGGCACTAGTAAAATGAGCTGTACAACCTCTGTAGCCTCTATCACAGTGCCCTACACTATCCTTTCCTATTAGCACCTGGCAGCAACAACAAAGAAATAGGGCCAAAGACAAATGATGAACTCTACTGTGTTGCTGATGTCTGAAACAAATATCTCTACCCTCCCTCCACACATTTTCCCCTTCCTTAAATTAACCTCGTGCACTTGAGACACTGCGCACTGGCTTTTGCCCATCATCTGCCCAAATCATGCCTGCTCTGCACTGGGTGTATGTCCTCATTCTCAAAGCTGCCTGGACTGTGATAGAGGCTCTTGGCAAGCTCCTGTCCTTCTCATCAGAAATTGAAATGCACCTGGATCAGGTGTTTCCAACCTTTCTCAATATTTGCATCCTTAACATTTTTCTAGTGCCTATGTGAGCCCCATCTAGAAATGCCATTTGCTCTGATGCTGCATAGTAAATACAGACTTGCTTTCCTTAATCATCATCCACAGAACAGCTGTCCTCAGGCAATGTTATTTGTTGTCTTTGTGAAAGAGGCATAAGTGATCCCCAAAGCATGACTTCAGCTCAGATCACCATTTGTGGATTTCTCACAGACTTTCCCTGTGGTACTGAGAGTTGAAAGAAGAAGATCCCCTGACATAAAAGCAGAAGACCCAAGTGTGCTGTTTAAATTCTAGGAATCAAAATATTTCAACTCCTCTTTAGATGGAGAATGACAACCTTTCAGGCTGACATGAAAAGCTGAATTTATACAAACATTTTGGTATAGTCAAGTTTTCCTGCCTGTGGAAAATTAACCTTCTTATCCAATAGAACGTGCTTTGGGTCATGGCAGCGAGCAGATGTCTATAATCTCCTGCACGTGGAGAATTTCCATAACATCAGAATTAGCAAGAAGTAAATGGGGAAAAAACCCTGAATGGAAACAAATGGAAGACTGACGTGGCTGCGTTCCACAAAGTACGTTCTGCAGCTGCATCACTGCTCTGGAACAAAGGGGAATATAATTATTGTTGTTTTACTTTCATTTCCCATTAGCAAAGCAAAAGCCGAATAAAAGTGGTTGTTATTTCTGCAGGAGAGAACTGGCCGAGGTGAGTATATGAGGTCACAGAGGGAAAACTATGAGGAGACTATGTCTTCAGCCTGAGCAGCTCATCCACCCAGTAAAAAATGTATCAGTAAAATTCACTGGTAACACTTTGTTATTGCAGAACCGAGTCAAGGCTTCTCAGATGCCCTGAGGATAAGACTCAGCCACACCTGCCAGGGTAGGGCAGGACTTGACTGCTCTTGCTGTCGGCGAGGAGTGATAATGGCTGGGGGTACACGTCTCCTCCTTTTGTCACGGCTGCCCCCCTGCTCCCAGCCTTCCTTCGTAGCAGCAGCCCCTCCGCCCAGGGCACTAGTGAAGGTGGGACAGGCACGCAGGAACTCTTTATTATTCCTGTGTTGATCAGGTCAGAATCCCTCCCGGACTTGCTGCTCTCCCCTACTCCAGAGGCAGAGCTGCCACACAGGGCAGGGCGGCGCGGAACAGGCCTGTTGTGCTTCAGGGCAGTGAGAGCTTCGCGTGGTTCCCAGCACTCCTGGTGGCCCTGACCCCCACTGACTCTCCCTGGCTTACAACCTTTTGGGAAATCTGACTTTCCTGGGAAGACTTCAGAGGTCTCAGGCTCCCAACAACGTCATTGAAATCCCTGGATAAAAAGAGTTTTGTAAGCCTGTCCTTAACGCCCCACATGTGGGTAGTAAGACCTGGCCAGCCGGCCTCTTTCCTGCCAGCTGGCATTGCTCAGCCATCTTGAGCCGGCAGCAAGCCACTGCATGTAAGCACAGTGCTCTCCTTCAGGAAGGGACCTTCTCTCCTTGTCAATAACTGTCCTAATCTCCTAATCCTTTTCTGAGGCAGAAACTCCCACGGTAGCTGCAGATCCCTCCTGGAACATGGAGTCTGCCTCCTGCTTGCAGGGGAAGTGAGGCTCCTCACGGTCCCTCCAGTCCCTCCCTGTAGCCGGGGTTTCTAGGTTCATTTGTGGGGCCGAGGTGATTTGCCATACAGGCAGGTGCTCTGCCATACACGACTTTTCTCTGTTGTTGCTTCCTCCTTATTAAATAACAGAGAAAAAAAGAAGCTACGCAGTCTCCCTTTTTTCTTTGCATTTGGGATCTAGTTCTTCGGCTGCAGAGGTGTGAGACTTGCACCGTTTTCTTACTTGCTTGCAAAATTATCACTGTCTCTGATAGATAGAGATAAAAAATTATCTCTATCTGTGGATAGAGAAAAACAAGAATTAAGGAAAGGTACGAAAAATGAAGCAACTGACAGGATGGGCCCCACCACTCTGTGTATAATGGAAAGTGCTGGAGCCTGTGAAGTCCCACCATAAAACAACCCTGGTGCTTTAATGTGCAAGATGTGTGTTGCAGCACTGCAGGGTCTGGGACGCTCATGCTACGGAGTTGGTGCTAATATGGACCGATCCCTTCCCAAGGCCAAGGCAAACCCAGGAACACTGAGACTGGAACCAAAGAAGAGTTCACCACTCTGGTGACACAGCATTAGGTTGAGTTTAGATGCACCTTGTATAAGACTTTGCCTCAAAGCTGTGGTAACCATTGCCCAAGTGAGCTTGCAGTGTGGTGGTAGCATGACCCCCAGCTGGCACAGCTCCATGCTCCAGAAAACCTGAGGAGAGAACGGAGTTCCCCTCACATGCACAGGCACAATGGCTGTCTTGGACAGCTAGAAAGGGAAAGAAAGATGGGGCTTGTTTCTTGTTTAAAGGGAAGATGTAATATTTTCCATCAGGTCAGGAAGGGTAGGTGACTAGTGGGGATGATACTCAGTTCTCAGGACCATTTTGCATTTCCCTCTGTTCTCCACATGGACAAGCATCCATGTCCTAAAGCCTCAGCATCCTGCTGCCTGCCTCAACAACAGTGGGGCCATGGGGCACTAACCCCCTCACACTTACCAACGGTCACATAGGAGATGACAAGAGAGCACATGAAGTGTGTCACCTGTGTACAAGTACAGTTTATCTACCATTTGTATGGTGGTGATTCCAGTTAATGGCTCGGCTTGAAGTTTCCCATAAGCATGACCGAAAGAAGGGAAACTAGAGGAAGAGCTCTTCATTGCAAACTATAAAATCCCAGACAACTCATTCAAAGTGAAGGTTTTGTATCAGGAGTTGAAAACACCAGGAAGCAAACCAAAAGAAACTGCAATGGAGAAAAGATCCGACTCTTGCCAGCACCTTCCCTCCAGGAGGCATAGCAGGCAGACTCCTGCGTCAGACCAGTCAGTGGGAGAAATCTGCAGGGTCCTTCTCTTCTAGTTCTGTTGGAGAGGACAGCAGCTCTGGGCTGGGAAAGTTCCTGCTTGTGAGAAAGCCATGACATTGTCTCCTCACGGTGCAGTAAGTTGTGTGGGAAGGACAAGGGGTTGCTATTTTAATTCTTGTCCCACCTGCAAGTGTTGTTGCTTGTTGCGTTCCCCCCACATGCCTGGTTGCCATCAATCCTGCACTCTACCCATCTGCAGCCCAACCAAAAGTAAAGGAGAAAGTATTTAGTTTAACACGTCTTTCTCCTGTTACTTTTTCTTTTGTTTTTCTTCATTTAAACACTTACCAGACAGACAAGGTGTGACAAGAGGCCTACTGCTCTGAAATGCTGACAAAACTGCATTTAGTTGCCAGTACAAGCATCTTAACTGGCTGACTGGTGAGAATGGGCAAAAAAACCCCAAGCAGAGGCACTTCATCAATGTAGCAATGGCAAGCCCCAAATATTTCACACTGTTATCTGATAACAGTGCAGTGTGCAATCTGACACATGCTTAAAGTGTCCAAAAATCCTATTCAGTCCTCAGTAATGAAGTATTTCCTTATCCTTCAACTAACCAAACACAGCTGCAACAAGGGGGAGCATGTCTTAGTACTCATGGCCAGTAATACCATGAAAAACCCACAAAAGACCATACTTGTTGTCATTAATATGATCTTTAATAAATGGAATAATGCACCATTTTACAGCAAGCCTTTTCTTTTAGACCTAAAGAATAGCCTTTTAAATGTTCTTATCCAATGTCTCTGTATCAATACAATCTCTTTATTTAGGTTTATATATAAACAAAGCAATTCTTACAAGTATTCATAGAAAACTCTGTAGTGGCTTTAACAATGTCAGCTTTCATAGTGGCATCCACAGATGATTAAAAAACAAAAATTAGCTTTTTATTTCATACTCACACTGTTCCATGAAACACAACTTATACAGCATAGCAAGGGTATTGGGCAGCTTATACAAAAGAAGTAACTGAAAGCAATTATTTATAAATTCATACATGATATTTCCTCAGTCATTTGAGAGAAAAACCAAAAATACCCGTTAACGAAAGGGTTCTGATGAGACTCCATATTCCAGGGTTTCTCCCCCTTGTCCCCAGAAAAGCTCGCTCAGAAAGTAATGCTCTCTTTACAGTCTTTCATAAGGAAAATGGCAGTTTCACATCTCCTTATTTCATCTTCTACAGAAGACCAAACCCTAGAAATCAGTCTTTGCCATGTTCCTCTTATACTGTGTTTGGGGGGAAAATAATCAACAGCGATTGTAAAATATGATTCCAGCTTATATAAATGTGAACAGAGCACACTTTCCTCTAGAGACAAAAAGCAGACAAGAAACATTACATACAAATCTTTTTAAATACATTTCAACAGTGTGAAAGAGAGAGAATAGTCACAAATCAGGAAATTCAAAAGTGACAAATAAAAGTCAGCTATAACTTGGGACTTGCCTCTTTGTTCTTGTGACTTCTTACAAACTACAGAAACATTAACTATTTTCTTTCCTTCTGAATACACAAGATTGAAGTGTGATACTTCATGATACAGTTCTGAAGCACCAAAAAAGTGAATCAAGTGCTCTAGAAATAGTCCTCATGTCTTTTTGCTGTTTTAAAAACAAGTGAATAGGCTACAAAAATGGACTTTGGGGAGATCTTGAAACTAGGAAGTTATAAAAGGTAATTACTTCTGCTTTAAAATAGTTACCAGGCAAGATGCTATGTCCCTGATGAATGTATGCTCCTCTAATATATCTGCAGAAGCCTGCAAGAACTTTGAAGAAATCCTTCCTTACCGTGACAGTTACTGCGTCTGTTGAAGCATGACAAATGCACTGAAGTTAACCAACTGAATGACTTGCAAATTTACACAACTGCTGATCAATAGGCTTTCAAAAATATCTGACAATTACATTATAAATTAATGTGACTCTGACTAGTTCCTGCTTATTATGCACATATGTATATTACACCACAGTGAAATAAATAGAAATGGCCGTAAAGTAATTCATATTAGTAACGCACCACAGCAGCCACTAAATCAGACCTGCATGAAGCCCAGATCAACATTAAAGGGCATTAACTGTTGTAAATGAGGATTTATCTTGAAACCTTCCACTCCCACACCCAGTGGAGCAGTTCCACTCCTTGGCAATAAGCACAGCTGCAGAGGTGCTGACCTAGCCTGGCAGCCTGAACCCAGGCAGCAGTTAACACCCCTGAAAGGGCAGTAGCCAGGGTTTGCCCATGTGGTCCCACATTCCACCTGAGTCTTCCCAGGGCTAATCCTCCCAAGAAATTTTTAAAACCAGTGCCAGCAGAACCCAACCCTCCTTTGCTCATAATCAATGGCATACTCCTCTTTGATTTCAAGAGCATTCGGCTCAAGCACTAGCAGATTAGATGTTGATTTCCTCAGATATACTTGTGCCAAACGTAACTCTCATTATGATTTGCAGGAGTGCCTGAAACTGTTCTCTGCAGAAGTTCTGCTTCATAACTGGTTCTGCTACCAATTTTAGCCAGTACAGAAGAAACCTCAAAATGAGAAATCTGATTTGTTACTATTTCACATCAAAAGTGAACCTACTTGGAGGTGGGTGGAATCAAAAAAGGGATGTATTTCTACAGCTAGTGTTTTATACGACAGTACAGAAGTCTAAATGTAATTGGATTTAATGGACTAAAATACTACATTTAAATGGCAACCACACACATAACTATAGCTACTACATAAAAAAGCCTTGCAAAAATTATCATGTACGTTGAGTTACTTTTTGATCTTTAAGCAAGGTACCTTAAATTACTCGGCTTCAGATAATGTTTGTCATGTGCATTCCCAGCCTTCTCTCTCTCTGCCTCTGTCTCATAAATCTGTTTCACCTAAATAATCAGTGACAAGTCTGTCATGGGAGATCTTGACTGCTGGACTGTACGTCACAGTCTGATCCTGATTTTACTGTGATGCACTAAATACAACTTAAAAATGGCACATGAAAAAGAACATTGTACTTGCTACCAGTGCTACCATCTGATGCTGTAACTCACAGAATCTAATCCTGCCATTTATGCACAACATACATATGCATCTAAATACATACAGAGTTTACATAAAAATATATATATTTGGCTTCACTGCAGTATGTATAGCTTTTTGACTGAAGAAAGGCATAAAGTTGAACAAAAAATAGGCATTAAAAAAGAAGTTTAATATATTTACCTGTTAAAATGGATAGTGGGAGACTAGATAGAAAAAATTAAATCCAAATTTATGCAAAATACTAAGTTGTCCAGTCTATAATCCAACTTACATAGACTAATCAATCCTATTTCAATTTTCTTTGATAAGCTGCTCCATATTTTCTAATTAGACATCAGGTGCTACTGTGCTTGGCAACTATTATGACTTAAAAAAACTATCCTGTTTCGGCAACGGGAACTGCCACCATTTCTGTACAAGTAAAAATTACAGCATAATTAATTTCTCCTGTATTGATAAATATGTGAATTTTTAATTCTCTCTAATTAGGCTGGAATTTTCCATAACAAAGTTTCAGCAGTAGAATGGCTATGATCTTTTCACAAAAGAAAATTATAATCGGAACATAGTAACATTATATTAGTGGACTATTTTTTTTTAACATTTAGAAAAGGAATATCATTAGAGCAAAATGCACTGATCAGTGAAACTATGGCATATACAATGTATAAATATATACTTTTAAGTAACGATTCGTTATTATGAAATTTGACCCAATAACCTATTCCATACAAAGACAGAACTTCCTCACTGTCCTTTCTGAGGCAGGCAGGATTAGAGATTTCTTTTAGAGAAAGTTGTCAGGGGGCAAGATATGTACTTTATAAACATATTTATAAGGTGGGGTTTTTCTGTTTGCTTGTTTCCTGAAACCTGCCAGCATCCATTTTGCTTTTTTTTTTGTCCCCAGTGCACTGAAAAAAAATGAAACAGTGTTGCCTTCGAAAATTAGGTAATTTTCTATATGGAAACAAGACACAAACGAACTGCAATAAGGAAGCAAAACACAAGCATAAATGTTTTTTGTTTCTGAGAATATTCTAATGATGACAATATTAACTGGAATTCCTTTACCTTTAGCTGTGCAACTTCAGTGCATCTTAGAATTTCAGGAAAGGCATTTTTAATACTACTTGTTTAGCACATGAAGCTATACAGCATTATAAGCAAAATTAGGGGAAGTGTTGCAGGTAATCTGAGTTGTAAATATCAATTTTAGAAGAAAATAAATCTGACCATAAGGCATGTCTGTTCTAATGGCTAGAATTCACATTCTAAAACCCATATTATGTTGGTGAGTATCACTATTATAGGAAACAGAAAAAGAGACAATGCATTAACCTAAGCAACTATTCTGGCTTCTACTAGCACATAATTTTCTAAAACCAGTAAGATTTTGGATTTTGGCTTATATATACAAACATCACAAATGTTTGCTCTAACATTTTACTTGAATTATACATTATAAATTACCATAGCAAATATTCTACTGTTGCCTATTTGACAGTGGCACAATTCATAGGTATTTACACTATCATTCCATTTTTATTTTGCTATATTTATCTTGTCTGCAATATACATGAGAAGCTGATAGTAAATTATCAACTTTCACCATTATCCCTTTTTCTTAAAACCCCCCCAAACAAAACACAAACACATTTGTCTCCCCTGATTATGGTACATTTATCAACTAACGATGTGTCTGATCTGTAGAATTCTCTTTCTTACATGTGTTTCGTTTGGTTAAAGATGATCCTCATAGTATGAGATACAATTCAGTATCATTTAATTTACAAAGTATTCTGTGGAGACTGGATTATGTGCTGTGAGCAAAAAAAGGGCATTACTCAATCAAGCATTAAAACCAAACTGCTAATTTGATCTCATCTAGCTGTGCAGAATTACAATATTTTGGTACCTACTTATGAGTTTGTTTTGACTGACCTTTAAAAATAAATATTTTTCTCTGCTTAATCTATAGGGTATTTTGTATATTTCTATCATGTTACAAATTACATTTATCTATGGCAGATGACAAAGTCAATAACTTCTGTTAATTATAGTTCATCCCAAAGGCTTTCCATCAAGTGGTAGAAATAGATAAAGGAAAAGAAACTATTATGTTTGCTTTAGGAGTGTTTAAGGAAAACTGAAGAACATTTTCATCTGGTACTAGAATGATTTTGATTGCACTGAGCATAAAAAAAAAATAGTTTCAAGTTAGATAAGAGTGTCCTAAATATGCTTTTCAGCCCACATTCTGAAATGCTGATGGATGGTACATACAAGGCAAAGCAAAGTCAATGGGAGAGGAGTGAAGAATCTTCAATATGCATGATACAGCAATCATCACAAAACAACATACCATACTTCAAATAGAGACTCAAAGAAGGCCAAAAGAGAAGAAAACCACAGCCAGCATTATGAACAAATGCCAAAAATTCTGATTCAGGTCTTGAAACCCAGCTGAGCAACTGGCAGGTTTTCAACATCTGGGATGTGAGATTGCAGCAGATGGGAAGCTGGAGAGTGAATTAGAAGTGAAAAAAAACAGAGAAAGGCTGTATTTTTGAAGCGGGGACATATAACAGTGTATTTATACAGGTGGATAACAGAATTATGCCTCAGAGACAAAAGGTACTACTTGAACCGGTGCTCAAAGAACACAGGGAGAACAAAATGTGTCTCATGGCTTGTATTTCTACAACTACACTTAATCAAAGTCTAGATGTCCAGAGTTATCTCTTAGAGATATCTGGGAGAATCTAAGAAACATTAAGAAGCATTACAAGAGAAAATCATAGCAATCCAGCAAAAACAAGGGCGTTTGGGAAACAGCAAGAATCAGATGTAGCAAGGCATATATTATGCTAGTTGTATCATCAGATATAGAAGAACAGGGTTGACACAAAGTTTACCTCAGGGGGAAAAAATAATGTAACAGCAAGGCAACAAATGAGCTTGAAAGCACAGAGCATCTGTTTCAGTCAGCTGAAAGGAGACAGGCTGGGGGAAGCAATTGTTTGCTGCCAGTATCCTGCCACAGGAGTTTGGCAGGCTGACTGAATAGATTTTCTTTCTTTGAACATCACCAGTTTTCAGATACAGTGATAAAACTTCGCTCAGTACCAAAGACTGACACACGTTCTATCTTTTTTATCTAAATAGATTTTACTGAAATGTTTTCAAACAGAATATTTCTCAGGTGCAGGGATATTTCTTAGGCGGAAGAAGGTCCTGATCAATAAGGATATTAATTTTCTTTCAGTCTCGGTAAAATCAACCATTCTAAAAAAAAGGTAAGGTTTACTTGAGATGGTGAAAAAAAACATTTATCTCGATAGATATTACATTCATGTTCACTGACACCTAAAATCAATGTGCATACAAACTGAAAGAAGGGTCAAGCAGAGGGGGAAAAAACCCCCAACCCTCCCCTGCAAACACTCATCACCATGAATTATAAAAGCATTCAATAAATTTTAAGAAGATGAATGAGGGGCTCTAAAAACTCTGAAGGAAGGATGAGTGTCAACACAATTCAGCAACAACAGTCAATTAGGACGCACCTACCTGCATAAGAAATCAGGCTGATTTTACCCAAGACTGTCTGTAAGAAGGTAAAAATCACAAAACTGTTTTGTGCCAAATAAGAATAATGATTCTTCCTCTGTGTAAACAAAATACATTTGCAACCTATCATCATTAGAGCTTTTAAGTATGACAGTTATGAAGATTTCTCAATAAAATGTATTTTTCAATGTACACCATTAGTGATCTAAATAAGGTTTTACATAAATACAGGGGGTGAAACTGCACACCAAATAAAATGGAAAAAATGGCTGACATTGTTTCCTCACATTTGTTCAATGTTTTCTATTCAGAACTTCACAGGCTGGCATCTACTACTACAAAGGAAACATGTTTTGATTTGGAAGGATCAAAGGAAAGGTACCAAGCTCTGATTTTTTTTTTTGTTGTTCCTTTTTAAAAGCCCTTTCAAGCTGGGGAAAATTCATGCATTGTCACCTCAGAGCACAATGTGATATAGGCAGCTGCTTCAAGCTGGCTATGGTGTGCAAAGTTCACTGTCATGACCGGCTGACTGCTCAACTGTCAGGGAAAAACTAGCAAATAGAAAAAGGGAAATGTGTGGCAGTTTTAGAAACATACTTTTCAGTAAAGCATACTGTGAACTATAGACTATTGCACATTTCAACATGACACAAGAAAAATAGGGGGTTCAAAAGAGAATACACGTTGTAACATAGAAATATATAGACTAGCTTGTGCACAGAAATCAAAACATGTTTACAAGACACCACTGCAGTCAAACCTGTCTTATAGTCTGCTTATGATCTTAGTGACCTTAAGAAACTGGTCCAAACTGATTATCAGCAATACTTTTTTTTGTTACTTTTTTTAAAAAAATATTTTGAGACCACATTTTTGATACACATATATATATTCCGTGGTCAAAACAGACAGACTTAACTTTAGCGATACTAAATAAAAGTGCAAAAACGTTCAAAAAATAAAACAAAATAAAAAAATATGGAAGCATAAGCTAAAAATTTTCTGCATAGCTGAAATCTATTTAAAGCGAGTCCTTGGTAGGGGTTGCTGACAGGAGGAGAAAGCAGTTTTTTAAAATGTCTTCTGCATGTTTGTTTCAAATAATGCAAAAAAGGTCATTTGTCGGCTTTTAAAATATTTCACAGGCAGTTCACTCCTGCGTCCTTAGATACCATTGTGGTGGCAGTGCCTCCTTCCGCAAGGTAAACAGCAGTGCTGGATTTGGAGTGGACTGCCCGGTCACTGCCATTATTGTTGACCTCGCAGTGCAGCGGCTCAGTGGAAATGACCCACGTTGAAGGACGCCATCGCTTAAGTGAGTACGGAGTTTTCACACGTTTCTTGATCTTTTCTCCTGAGCCCGATTTGCCATCCTGTGAGGATTCACCTACTGAAAAAAAAACAAAACAAAAAACCCAAACAAAAAACAAAAACAGAGTAGAAAATAGCATTATGAGGAGCGTAAGATTAGTCTGGAGAGTCTAGGGTTGTTACTCATGCAAAAGCACAAAAATCTTATCACACAAAAGCAACTGCATGGCAGAGGAATGACAGGTATGTGAACTACAGTAACTGCCACTAAAACAAGGGATCAGATTGTGTTCTCTGTCAGAAATTACTTCAGTGAAGTAATTTGTGTTACCTTGAATGCACATTGGCATCAAACAGCAGAATCAGCATTTGACATTTGAGGGGCTTTTGCAATCATAGTATCTTATATTACCTGTAATGGGAGGTACAAAAAAATGTCGCTACTACAGGACAGCAAAGGCTAAACTTTTAATAGCATAATTAAATCATAGGTCCTCTAATCCTACTTCACCTAGCAAAGCATTTCACTTGAAGACAAAATGGTCCATTCTCTGTTAAGATCACGAGTCAAGATTTGGGATGTTGGGTTGAAAAACGAAAAACAAACTTTAATCATGATAAAATTTCAGCAGTAGAAATCTGATTGTAAAAAACCTGTCACTTTATATAACCTTCAAACCCTTTCTTTGAACTTAACCTTCAATTAAAGAAAGTTAACGCAATAATCTTTTTTCTTTACCTCAGTAAGATTTCAACTCAAGTCAACATGTTAAGACAAAAATTAAGGTTTCCTACTTAAAAGGAAGGCTTAAAAATTCCACTGCTGTATATTCAACTACATTTCTTGATCTGTTCTGGTTTGTTTCTAAACCTTTTCTTTCCAAACATGCCTGGCACCCTAGATTTTTTCACTAGTGTCAGTGTCTGTCTAAACATAGTCAGAGGTTTGCAAGCACCTTTCAAAATACAGTGAACTCTGGAATTATATTCTCTTAAAAATGCACACTAGGAGGGCCTTTCCAACAGGCTCAAAGTCAAACTCCAAGGATGTACCTAATTTAACTATAACTACATTATTACATTCTTACTGTAAAAAGGAGAGCTCCATTTTAACCTCTTCTATCTTTGGCCATAAAACTCTTAAGGCAGTTATTCTGAAGAAGTGTATTAAAAATTATTCCTTTTCTAACTACTTTGGTTAATTTTTAGTATGTACATGGTAAACTGCTGAAGGATTGCTATAACTGTTAGAGATCAGCAAAGTAGAGACTGCTTGACCCCCCATCTAGGCTGAGCTAATACAGTAAAAACAGTCACTTTAAAAGTAATGAAGCCTGTAAGTAGTAGTTATAATAAATTATTTTAAACAATTCATCATAGAGCCAGCTACTGTTAGAATGAGGAAAAGTAAGGAAAAGAAGGTATAATATGCCCCTGAAGGAAGAAATAGGAAGCTTTTTCAATATGCTTTGCAGCTGTCAAAGTAGGTGCCTTGCATGGAATAATGAAAGTTAGAAATTACTCCTTTCCTTGAGACAAAGTAGGCAGGTTATAAAGAGACAGATTTATTCCATGTATGTGGAAGGAAGACCTAACATGTGTGGAGTTGATGGAGACAGCACTTTACTAAGACTGAAACTGAGCTGCTAGAAATTCAATTTAAATGGGATTTAGTAAGTATGCTTTGAGGAAGGACAGAAGAGACAGAATTATTTTCTATTCAAGCAGATATATGTAGTTATTTAGTAAAAAAGTGTCAGGGAAACTGTTCAAGTCTTGCAGGCACTTACACTGCATACTACTGCTATCCAAACTATTTGTGGCTGATAGATCCAGCGAATTAGGCCTCTGTGCTCTTCTAGTCTGGGTCTGCCCAGGATTTCTCACTACATTCTGGATACTGACTGTAGCTGTGTCTTGCACTGGACACGGATTACTGTTGTTGTTATTGGCATTTGTTCGGCTGTTATCCAGTGGTCGCTCTCTCCTGTCTACTAGGCGGTCCAGAACACCTTCATCATGGCCAACTTGCTGCTCCCGCCTCAACAACGGTTCATGCTCATCAGGGCTTGAATTAATATTCAGCCGACTATCCTCTCCACTGAACTGGTTCTGGAGCATTTCCTGGGCCCTCTGTGCTACTGAACTGGTTGTCTGGCCAGACGGCACCGTGCCATTGGGATATTGGGTTGTGCCAGCGTGAGAGTTTATGCTATGGCTTCTCCCAGCCACTCCATTCATGGTAACCGTCACGACATGAGGTTCTGCAGCATTGATAGTGTTCATCTTGGCAACACCTGTTTCCACTTGCTTCAAGTTTGATTTGTGCTTGCCACCAAATTTTAACCGTGGCTCCTTCGTTGAATTTTTGGTGTTTAGGGGGAGGCTAGTAGGCCTCTTTGGAAGGTTCTGTTGCTTGGGTAGAGGATAGACCTGAGCAGATGGGACATCTGGAATCAAACACGCTTGACCATTGCCAGCTTGCGTGAAGTCCTGTTGTCCTGTCACCTCTACTGCAAGTTTTATCAGTGGATAAAGCAAGCTGGAACTAGTGCTGCTGAGTGGATCTGGCCCGCTAAACTGCTTCAGTGAATGTTCCATCAGATTCTCGTCAGAGCTTTCTTTCAGGTTCTTATCCACTTCTTTTGGATCCAATTTATTTGTCTCTAAATCCTCCTCTGTCAGCTGCAGACAAACAGGGGTGGGCCCACCTGGCTGCATGACGTTTGTAGTATGTAAGTTTGTTTCATCCGAATAAGGCATTTCGGATATGGTGGTCATGCCAGTGCTAGGAGTGAGACCAGTTGTATTGGTGGTGGTAGTATTGGTGGACAAACTGGTGACACTTGTCTCAGGACTAGGGATGCGAGCTTGCGCTTGCTGTCGCTCATAGTTAATGGAGTTTCTATTCTTCTCCCCAGAAGTCAGTGGTGTAGTGGACATTGAATGTTCAGAAGAAATGTTCTTCACTATGCTGTCAGTGTGGTGGATTGAATCTTCAATGTAGGAAGAGGAAGAGTAATCTGGATATGGCCTTATCTTTGATACACGCCTATGATGTGACAGATTCCTTTAAGAAAAAATAAGGGATATTAAGATCATATATGTAAAAATCACCTCATATTATAAAGCCTCTCATTTAAGAGAGATGAATATCTTTCTGCTTCTTTTCATGCATAAACTAAGGACAGATACAGTACAAACTGAGATCTTTCAGTAAGTTCCTTGAAAAATCCTGGGTAGCAGAAAATCGGTTTTGCTAGGACAGCAATTTTATACAACTAAGTCGGATAACAGTAATTTTCTTCTATTTGTCCAATACGCTGTTTGTCAAGTTCACTGCTAAGGTACTGGTCTCGTTTCAGAGAAGTGATGATGAAGGAGTGCAACAAGAACTCAACACACAAGATGAAGAAAGTAATGCTGGGGAAAAGTCACAAGGCCCCAGACAATGAAAAATCTATTATTTTAACAATTTAGATATTTTACAATTTGAACATAGATTTTTTCATTACAATAAACACTGACATATAGAGCAACATTATTCTTCTCTCAAATCCAGATCTCTAGTGTATACTATTAAGCACTAATATCTGTTCTGCATATTCTCTCTCCTTCTGGATCATATATAAGCGAGAATGTGCAGAACTTCTCTCCTTGGGGCCAGAATAATGATGACTTAAACTATGGCCCTGCAGTTCTGTAACTGAAAAGCTACAGGTTTGAGACTCAGTGATTTCCTGGACTCATATTGCCTGCAAATTCAGTTTCTAGCAGAATATTTTAAATAGAAGGTTTATGAATCATTTAGTAAGAGTCCTTAAAGACAATTCATAGTCACTTACTACCTTTGCAAGCCTATTTAGACAGTTTGCCTAAGTTCAGTTTAAAATGCCCCTCTGTGAGAAGTACAGTTGTTTACATAAAAGGTGCCTCAGTTCTGGGGACACATAGGAGGTCTCCAGAACACAAGCAATCAGGATCATGTCACACAATACCCATATGCAGACTAGCTCATGTAACACACACCCACTTCACAGGTGCATAAACGTTAAACTAGCAGAGTGCTCTAGCTTCCTTCCTGGAGTGAGCTGAGCATTGCACTGGGCATTTGCTGCTGACTGAAACCAAATGTTTTCTCTTCTTACCGCTCATTTTGCATGGCAGTTGACATAGGGTTGACTGTTGGACTGACTGATTTGTTTCTCTCCCAAATCATCATGAGTTCTGCCATCCTCTCTTCAGCACACTGCGCTGTCAGTCGAGCTTCAGCATCTTGATCCCAACAGTCTTCAATTGTTTCTTTAAGTGACCTCACAGCCTGCCAGAAGATAAACAAAACCCCTTTATCTTAAATTATTTTCCCCTTCATGTCGTGCTTCTAATTTACTGTTTTGTGACAGCATTCTGTATGCATGAAAATAGGCACAAGCTAGTGAGGAAGAGAAACAGAAGATACACAATTTAATTCAAAGCTACTTTACCCTAATAAAGCAATATGCAGGACTAATGTTATACCTCAGGCACACCCCCACTGGGAAGACAATTACTTAGGTCAAGCTACTTTCGCCAATGTCCACAGAACCTTCAGCCAGCCCTCTCTGACATGCACACGGTCAGCTCACTCTCCCTGCCTTATGAAAGCTGCATACTAAGGATTAATGATATTCTGGAAATGCCGTCATCGTTATCCTCACAATTCAGCTAGAGGTCCCTGCCTTGCTTTCCTGCACTGTATGCAAATAACACAGCCTTGCTCATTTCATCATGCTTTTCTTCTTCTGTTCACTACTGTAACACCCAAATGCCTCTTAGATATCAGTGAATTTGTCTGCACTATAGGAGGAGATTATTGCTGCCCTTGTTTTACAGATGGAGAAACAGAAACAGACACACTTTCCTGGGATCACACTGTGGGGTGAATGGTGCAGCCAGGATTAGAGCTCAAGACCTCCAAAATGTGCTGCCATATGGTCAGAGACCCGGAGAGAAGACAACTGAAATGATGAGCACTGAACACTTCTGCTTCCACTGCGTCCAAAGTACAAAAAACAGGCAGACATTTACTAGCCTGTGCTGCCAATCCATGGCCCATGGATAGGATGTGGTTTGCCAGAACATCTCACATCTACAGCCCAGCTTTAACCTCTCCAGCATCAATGACTGTGCACAGTCCCAGCTGGGCACTGAGGCATTCAGTGGGTCCTGCTGACTGCCTGTGCCAGAACTGCCTCGTTCACTTCTGGCAGTGAAAGCCAGGACTAGCTCTGCATGCTGGCCAAGAGCTCCTCACCCACAGAGCGGGCTCCTGGCATCGCTTGCATCTGGCAAGTCACTGCTGCTTAGTGATGCAGCTATGGCTGCACAGGTGGGGATGAGCTCCCACACAAGCAAAGCTTTATCTCCCTTCCCACAGTAGATCAAAGAGGGGCTAAGCAACTACACCCCTGTTAAGCTGAGGAACGTAAGTCTGAAACACCCTTAGGAAAAATGACATGATAATATACTGGACTCGTTTTTTTCTCCCAGAATAAAAAGCCTTCATTCAACTTTTAGGACTTGATTTAGTCACAGTTGGGATATATCTAAGTCAGTGGACATCCTAATCTTGTCTTACCCCTTTGTAAGACTCTCCTACAGGTTTCATCAGCAGTAAATTTAACTAGTGCTTAATATTGTCTCTCTTCCAGTAGATCCTTTCCTTCTGATGTTTTAAGGATCATGAAAGCAGCACAGCAGAGACTGTATAGAGCATTAACAAAACTGAATTTCTAGGGCTTCACATTTACCACTGTAACATGTTTTCTATTAATTTCAAAGAAATCTATACTAAAATGCACTATTTAGAAGTTCTAGCACTCATTAAAAAAATAGAAGAAACAGAACATCTGCATTATTCTGTTATTCTCTTAATATCCTTCAGTCCTGACCTTTGAAGTCAAGCTTGGGCCCTGCCTTGGCAAATGAGACAAGAATGCTGCTATCATCTCAACACCATTTATAGGCCTTGAATTACTTTATGCACATCATCTGCTCAGATTGTTGATTTATACCATGAAAAACTATACTGCTAATCAAGGTCTGTATCACAACATGTATGTTCAAGAAGCAGACTCAGACTGCACAGGTAATCAAAAATTTAGGTTTTCACATCTTCTGAATGCCTTAATTACGTGACCTAAAAAATATGACATTGCTTTTTATTTGTATTTATCAAATGAAATGGGCAAATACATTTCTCTGATAGATGAATTTGCATGAAAGTGTTATAACCTAACATGTCAGCATAGCTTTAAATAATGGACAAAAGTCTTTTATCCCATGCATTAGATACAGAAGGTTAGGATCTGGGTCCAGGGTGAGGTTATCTGGAGCTTAGTTTTCTACAGTATCTCCCCTAGAGTGCTCAGTCAGATGTTATCCTGGACTGGCATAGGGTACCCATGAGAGAACTACAGATTGTTTATTTATTCTTATTTTCTCTTAAAGAAATGGTGTAGCTCCATTCTTAAAGTTGGACTTATCATCACCATTATTATTAGTTTGAATTTTTGTAAAAAAAAAAAAAAAAAAAAAAAAAAAAAAAAAAAAAAAAAGTAGTGACAACACAAAGAATGTGTTAGGCAGTTTAAATATAGGGATCATTACTATCTCAGCATCTAATAAGGCTGATGTCTATCAGCTTGTTAGCAAGCAATTAACATTTAAAATGGTACTCTGCAAAACAAACCAAACCTTCTTGAACTCAGTTACAACCGTCTTCAAAAACAACTGCCAAGCTTGATTCTTCCAACAGTGTATTTGTCAATATGGTTATAGTTAAAACAGTTGCTGCTTGATTTCCTGTATAGTTTGGGCGTGGATTTTTTTTTCACTTCCCACCCCCAAAGAATGGCTGGCCAAAACTGTGTAATAAAAGAACCTCTCTGTGAAGCTCTCAACTCAGTTACAACATGTTTTACAACAGTGTTAATACTGGAGGCTATGTTCCTCTGAAAATGGTTTCATACATATTTACAAGTACCAGCACAGATGAGGCCTTGGGCTCCCCATTATCTGCACAGTAGCTACAGACTTATCAGCTAGCAAAGTCTCTGAAGATTGAAGAGCATAATTTCAATAAGGGAATAAGGAGAAGTATCTTTTAAAGTAAGAGTCAAATGTCATTTTCATACCCACAATCAAGGTACTTTAGCTTAAACAAGTTACCACGTATCAGGTGGAACCCAGTAACTGTTTGCATTTCACTTTGTAATAGAAGACAAACAACCCCAGCTAAGCTAAGGGGATTCGCATTACCTCACCCCTTTGCTGCAGATGAAAGCAAGCACACAGACTCTTACCAGAGTTCAGCTCACTTGCCATAACTTGTTGGCCTGCAGCAGCAAGGAAAACTCTAAGCTATAGTAATTCAAAACAACAAACAACATTACTATGTTTATAGTCTTGAAAATAGAAATTGCAGATCAAATGAAGCCATATAAAATTTCTAATGTAGTTATAATGAAATGATTGCTAGAAGCTGTAGCCTCTGCAAATTTTGAGGACTATACAACTTCAGAAAAAGTTTATAACAATGTTTATAGATTTTAGGTTTGGAAGAGTATATTTAAATTTTTGCCAAGTCTTTTATTTTAGGGTGTTATTAGTTTATCAGATGTTAAAAGGCAGAAAATGCCTTTGTATTTCTCATCCAGCATACAGAGAACATATGGGCACTTCTCATATAATACTACAGATGCTGTCTAACAATTAATATAACAAGTTATGTTCTGTGTATCACACTTCAGCATCCGATCATAATAATAGTATTTTCCCTTAAAAGAAATCTAGCTCTCATTTCAATGTCTTTTTGAAAACTGAATGCAATTTTTAAGAAGTCCAGACAGAAGCAGCTCCCAGTCCTTAAATACTAACAAAAATTAAAAAGAATATATTCAAAAATTGCATTAAGAAGTGAGTACACCCTATAGCTGGTTAAATGATTGTTTCTTTGAAACTATTCTATCTCACCAGGCTGTTCTCCTTCCACGCTTCTGGGAATTTTGGTCTTTGCTTCTCTCTAGACACCAAGACTTGCATATCTTCAAAAGTGGGATGGTTTCCGACTTCTGTCTGGAAAGCCATCTGGTACTCTGGCACAGATTCCCCTGTTGGCAAAAGAAGGAAAGAAAAAAAATAAATCACAGATTAAAAGGCAGAGCAAGGGCCTTCAGGTGCTGAAAGGTAGCATCAAAGTTGCTGTCTATCGAGATGTTCTCCACTTTCCCCCAAAGTCTAACTTCACAAAAAAAGATGAATTAACTGAAAATGAATGAAGTGTTGTTCAGCAACCTCTCAAAAGGGTAGCATCTGCAAACTTTGCTGGTTGAGTGACACATTCAGAATGTCTGAGGATGACATATAATTTCTGTGAAGTGTCGCTGGCTGAATATAGTTATGTACTTCATTTCATAAGAAGTCCAGCGAGATTACAAGTCTCTGCACATGAAGTGCAGCTATTTGACTACAGAGAGAATGATGCATGTCAGATTAACTCTATATGCTGCAATTTGTGAAGATGACGGTTCTGACACAATCTCACATGTTAAATTTTAAAAGTCCACTTCCTCTTGCTTTATGTTACAGGTATGAAGGATTTCTCTGAATTTTCCATGTCACTAGCATAAATAAAAGTACGACTGAGTAAAGGCTATATTAAATCACAGCACCTTCCCATCTATTCTTTCATCAGGGAAGTCTGCAAGACACTTCAGGCACTTTTACCGGTTCTAAGAACTGAAAGTACTGCCTTTGCCATCAGCCAAACTCTCAGTGTTTGTAAACTCTGCGAAATAATAATAATGCTCAAACTGCACTTACTATGGGGCCTGCAAAGTGCTTAACAAGGTAATTTAAAAGTCTTTCAGCATGACCCATGCTTCACACTTGAATACACTATATTGACAACAATCATCTTGAACGCTAGATGGCAGCGACTTAATGGCAAAACCAATTAAGAAAATTACTTCTCCACTTAAAAAAGCTATCGCTAGGGAGTAGCTTTGGTTGCTGCTACCACTTTCCACTACTGATGTTTTTTCCAGTTCTTTTAGTTACCTGGGAAGAGGTCTGTACATCTCATAAATATCTCCCAGTAGATAAGACCTAGCGCATACATATCTACTTGTTTCAAGGCAGATTCACAGTCCCTCAAATTCACTGCTCCTTCAAGCACTTCTGGGGCCATATAGCGGATCGTACCGACCTGGAAAAACATAAAATCAAAGCTTCAAATCAGGAATCAACTTCCAAATTAATTTTATTATGGAGATTTAGTTTTAATACTTTAATAATTAATAATTGTTTTAACGATATATTATATTTAATAATTAAAAATAAATTTAACAATAATTCTAATATTTCTGTTGTTGTTTGATATTTTCTACAGTTAAGAAAAATTAAGTTCTCTTCTAATCAATGTCCTCAACTTCTAGACTCTTATCAGGAGCCCAGTCACAATGAAACCCTTCCCCTAACTCTGTCACTTTACCAAAACAAAATAATTTTGTTACTTACTCCATGTTCTTATATGCAGTACAATGTAGCAAAAAATGTTTCTTCTTCCTGAAACTACTCTGTTAAACACCAAGATATGTATCATAGAGGAAGAGGATGCTGCTGCACAAGGAACTTGTTCTCTTTATTCCTGGATTGTCAGCCAGGCTCTCCCCAACATCTTCCATGATCAAAGGCTATTAACAGTCTTGGAAGATATCTACAAATTTCCACTAGGAAATACGTTACATCAGAGCAATCGCTCATCGGTACATGTAGGACAGTATTTTGTCACTGGGCTACTCCATATCCCTGCATTTTAATTAGTATTTTTCCCTGTTTCTTTGTTCAGTAAGGGGAGATCTGAAAAGAGGACCTGTGCAGTAGTTACTAACGTAGCACTTGCTTTCTAAGGGAAGGCAATTAGCACTGCAAAACACATTCTTTGAATGAAATGTAAAGGTTTTCTGTAAAAAGCACAAAGATGACAAATATACAGAACCATCAGGAACTTACAGTGAGACTATTTTAAACAGAGTGAATTTCAGTAGCCTGTATTCAGATGTCAGTGTATTTATACTTACACAAAAAGAAAACAAAAATGAAAAAAACACTCTCTGAATCACAGCATCATAAAAAAGAAAGCTTAAGAAACCAGTTTCTTCTTTCTGCCTAGAATTTCTCATTCTAACCACTCCTAGCAGATGTTTCCTGATCTGTTCCTTAAGTTCATAAAACAATGCATATTCTCTATAGCCTTACTCAGCAGTCCATTCCAGACCTTTGCTGCCTTCTACAAGATTTCTTCATAACTAACCTACATTTTCCCTCCTACAACGTAATCCCATTACCTCTTGTCCTATACACACTGAATGCAAACAGTTTATTCCTTTCTCTTTGTAGAAGCTGTTTACATATTTGAAGACCTGTCTCCATCTTTACGTCTCTAAACAACCCTCATTCTTTCATCTTTTTCCGTAAGGTACTCTTTCAAGCATCTCCTGTTATTTTGTCCTTGTTCTTTTTCAGTTGGTCCACGTTTTTCTACATGCACTTACTCTCCAGATGTACTCATTTAAAGTCCAGAAAATTGCAGGTGACACACAGAGAAATGGTTGTAGTATACAGAGTGCTGTATGTCACCATTTCAGAAAAATGAACACCAAAACCACCAAAGAATGTTTGGTCTTCATTTAATACTTGCAGTGCAAGACTGAAGGGATCTGTACCACATCATTGCAAACAACATGGCAACCAAACCTACCTTGGATCTTCTCACATCTCACACAGAAAACTTCCATCTCCAGAGCTGCCAATCTATCACATTTCAAAATGCTAGGTACGGCTTTGAGTGTTTAGAGAATAAAACCAGTTTCTTCCTATGAAGGTTTCAACCACTTCTCACCCCTACTGCAGCAATTCCCCCTTAGAGGAATTGTACCACCTTAACATTCACCTTGTAACAACAGAAACAACTATTTCTCAGTGTTACTTCCATACTAATTTGTCTTCCTTTATACACTGGTTTATCTTCATTTGTACTTACCTCACTAATGGCTGCATTATCTTCCTCACCTGGGCGTACCAGTCTGTTTCCAGTTAACTTCATGGAGAGTCCAAAATCACTAATTACACATGTTCCATCATTCTTTACCAGTACATTGCGGCTGTTCAAGTCACGATGGGATATTGCGGGTTTGTAATGGTCTGTTTGGACATACGGAAATGCTTGTTACTATTTGAGCAGTTCTACTGTTAGGCAAAATGAGAGAACCTCATTATGTCTGTTCAGCTATTATAAACAGAAAATCAACTTATCTTTGAGAAAGCTAACATTTTTGCTTCTTTATAATGAGCTCCACAGTATGTGATCTATAGAAAAGTGACTGACCTTCAGAGTTTCACTTTAGCTATATAATATACTAGGCTACTGCTATACAGTTTGTGTTTGCTAATAAAGCTTCTTTCCAAGGGAGATTTCAGCATGATTTTAGCAGGAGAGACATTGTGTACTTAAGCACAGACCTGCTGCCACCACTCTGATAGCCATTCCAAGTGGTCTCTCTCATATCCACACTCCTGTGTCAAATACAGCACCAACTATTTAGGTTATGATTGGAATTGGCACCTATTCAGAAGATATGTAGGCAATATTATTCCAGAGAGTCTGAACATGTTCATCTTGCAAGCAATCTGATCTTTTCCGAAGAATAATCTCAGTTTACATGCAATTTATTTCGTTAGTAAAGCAGCCAGCACTATAGAACCGGTTTTACTGTGGAATTTACTCTAATTCATGAGTTCCTTCCTAGCATTCATAGATCAGCCTATGGCTGTCTCTTCTCTGTGATGGAAGGTTTACACATTTTCTGGCTGCTAATGGACACACCTGTTGGCACATTTTGAAATGATGAAATTAAGATGATAGCTACAGTTTCAATGGCACATAGGAATACTGATTTAGGTATTTTCAACCTTGCACTTCAACAGCATCTTCAGCTGTCATTCTTTGCTAGAGTTGATACCTAACATTTGAGAGACATAGTTTCCAATTTTAATCCAAACATTAGCACCTTAACATAGAATTAATGCTACCATCCTTTTATTTACTGCCAAAAAGCTAATACTTCAGTGCCAGGCCATGTTCTGCAGTCTGATACATCACAGATCTCAGAATATCATCTTTATAAACATGATACTTCAGCTGCTGAAATGCTGGCTGAAGCATGCAAGCAGCAATACAAAGATACAAATCAGTATGTTGTCACATCCAGTACTCTCATAAAACAGTAAAAGTCCAGCAGTATTGTTTGTACACAGTGAAGACTAGGCTCACACCCTTAGACAAAAATCAAGAGACACGATAAATAAAGCTACAGTAGAGTTAGAAGATTTAGTTATTTCTCTTTGCGTATACAGCTCACACACAAACTAAAAACTGCTTTGGTGATTTGTGTCTGAACTGCAAAAACAAAGAGAACATCCCATCTGTTTGCTCTCTGCTAGACAGACATCCAGTGCTTCAGGTCTCCAGTAATCTGTTGCCATGATACAGCAGCACTGCACAACTCTGCCTCCTCCTTTTGCCTTTCTCTGGGGCTCTGCTGGCTCTCACTCCATGTTTTCATACAAGCATCACAGACACAGCCCGCAACACGGGATCGTTCCGAAGGAAAGCACATACAGGAAGTTCTGAATAATCTCTATTTGCATTCATCATTCCTACTCACCGTACTGTCACAGAGAAAAAAGAAATGCAGGAATCTACTACCTGATAAACAAGAGTATCTTGAACATCCTGGCATGCCTTCCTGGCCTTACCTCCTCGAGGTAGCTCCGTGTGCAGGTACGCCAAGCCCCTAGTTATAGAGTGTGCCAAACGACAAGAGCTCACCCAGTCACTTGTGTGGAGACTCAAATATTTGCACAAAGAACCCTAAAAAAAAGAAAAAAACAAACCAACCCTGGATGAAAATCATAGTCCAGTTGAATAACCCAAAATCTTTAGGAGAGTCAGTTTTATCTATTGCTCCTGAAAGGTGTAATCCTGCAGCTGCTTCTGTGTTTACCCAGATGTTCTAAAACACAAGATTGGACCAAAGTTTCATTAATTTCTAGTGCTACCATTTGGTTTATCTAAAGAAGCAGAACAGAAAATTTATCACAAAATAAGCATAGATTGCCTTTAGGAATAATGATATTAATTATAAAACAAAAGCAAAGCATACACTTGATTTATTCTTCTGAAAAAGTCTTGTTGAAAAACAGGAGAGAGGCAACTGCAGACATAACAGCCTGGGTTACTAAATAGTGGTCTTTAAACCATTAGCACTTACAGAAGAACACTTCATCTCTCAGTGGCATCTATCTCCCTGCTATAATCTATGCATGTGTTGAAACAAAAAAACCTCCAAACGCAATTCAGAATACGATCGAGTCCACACACACTGAAGAAACAGGAAAAAAAGAATGTCATGTCCCCCTTTTCTTTCAAGAGAAGTTAAATGTGAAAAATGGGGGATTTTATAGTAATTTGTGGTGGAATCTCCAAGAAAGCCAGAAGGAAGGGTGTCAGTTATGATACTGAGATATTCTAGAAGCTGAGACTGCTATCTGAAACAAGAGCCAGATCCTGCAAACTAGGACACCTTTGAGCAGTTTTTATGCACATAGTCCCCAGTGACAATATAGGCAGTTTAAACAAACAAACCCCACGCATGAAGAACAAGTTGTCCTGTTGTCTTGGCATACAGATTACAATGTGTTTATGACTACAAACTACCCTGGTTTTGCCTATTTAAATCTGTAATCTTGAAGATGCACCAATGTGTAACATCTTATCATAGCCACACAATAAAACATTTTATTGCAAAATTACTTCTGTAACATTTGGTTCAAAAAAAACTGGTATGTGCCACTTGAGTTCATTTGGAGTCAACATTCAGGTATGTAACACATGTAGAGTTCAGATGGAGACACACAGATACCAGAATTTAAAAGTGACTGAAGCATTAGATTTTTTTTTAGCCCAATGCTAAAACTAAAACCAAGTTCTTGACACTACTTAACAGAATTACAAAAGTCTTAACAGCTCTTCAGACTTAGCCTGTGCAGAACAGGGAACCCATAACAGATAACCTCCTTGGTGAAAACACAGACCAAATATCCCTCATACAGGTTTACATGAGCAGGTTTTTTTCATGGTTTAAATGCTGCTATATGAACTTCACAAATATTTTGATAATAAATAAAAAAGCTGAGAATCCACATAGAAATGAGTTAAAGAATTTTACACTTTTTTCGTATTGTTTAAAGATTTTCAAGAAATACAAACACTCTTTATCAGTGTCCAACTGCCAGCAACTTGGGCACAGTAACAGGTTTTCTTGCCTTAGTGGGTTAAGATTCCAGCCCATTCTAACAGAGGCCACAGGACTGTTGTCGTGGTGTGACTGGAAAACACTCACTATATAAAGATCTCAAACCAACTTCACGATCTTTCTGCTGCAGAGCTTGCTAGCCACCAGATACTTTTTAAGCTAGCTGAGGGTTGTGATTTTATACTTTTAGTGAAGTTCAGTAGAAATGACAACCAGGAAAAGTTTTAGTCAAGATTTAGATATGTAGTTGTAACTAAGAATATTCTCATCAGTCATGAGTTACATGTTAAATTAAGGACATTTGTTCTGATTGTAACTTTTGATACAATTGATAGTTTTGTTTTAACAATGAAAAGATTCTGTATGTGGTTTACAACAATTTTTCTATTCTACAAAGACATGAATGCCTGACTACTGGGAGGACAATTCAGTGACTATTACGTATTTCCTACTATGTCATCCCTTGCAATTTACTGCTTATTCACCTGCCACACCTCAGAGTACTACCAGAACAGCATGTTGATTGATAAATACACATATATCTTTCCTTTCATTACTTGCTCACCTACTTTCTTTGGTCTGAATGCATGTTTGGATAACAACACAATTTGAGTCAAACCTACCTGTCTTGCTTTCACTGAGGCAACATCAAGAACAATTTTCTGTGTGCAAATGTTCTCGTTAATGTGTTCTTATTTCCAGGAAGGAAAGTATTTTGAGGGAGAAGGATGTTTTGGACGGGGAATATTTCACCTGCGCATCTTGTATGGGTTACTCCTTATTGAAATCAGATTTATGACTTCAGTTTGAACAGTGCAATTCCCTTTTAGAAGGGCTGCCACAGCAGGTGTCCTTCTCTGCTGTTAGTTCCACACGCAGCAGAACATCTGCTCGCTGAATCAAGGATCACGCTGTGCATTAATTACACCTGCTGTGCACTTTTTCCAATGACTTCCAAACCACCAGTGAATTGATTTTAGACTAATCTTGCTGGTTTTAATACCATATTGACAAAGAATCTGATAATATGATGTCATAAGTCTCATCTATGCATTTAATCAGATCATTAACAGATCCTGTTTATATAAGCAACAAGATACAATTTTCAATCAAATTACATTTCAACTGAAAATCACTTCATTCAAGAAAACGGCAAAACCAGATTACCTGTTAAGACAGTTATGCTGTGCCCTCCCAGGAGCAGAATACTTGCTTGATTTCACTTAACTCAATTATTTGAAAATAAACCTACTATTTCAGAGCAGGCCAGAGCTGACATGCTTTGCTACTGTCCATCTGGTGCGGGCACAAATGAGCTTTTTCTATGGTCATTTCCAGCCTCTGCAATCTCTTCTTAGATGCCCATCTTTTATAAGCCGACATGATCAAGTAAAGTGCTATGTTGCCTTAAATTTGCATATATATTTAGATATTTATAAACAAGCATGCATTTAACTTTCAACACAAGCATATAGACAGAGTCTAAACCACCCTAAGCCAAGCCATCATTACTGCTATTTATTACTGTTCTGTTTCTTTTTGCTACTTGAATAAGCAGCTTTTGTTCTACTGTTCCCATAATGAATCAGGCTTCAGCCATCACCTTTACACACTGGACGAAATAAGAGTTCACTTACTTGAGACCAAAAAGCTCATTAAAAAAATTATTTAACTGAACAATTGAAGTTCTTTCCCATACACAAGCAAAAAAGCCCCCAAATAAATTATGAAATGTAGTTTTTTGTATTTTCATATATATAACCCCCACATGCATTACATTTTATTTGAAATATATATGAAATATATATTTTTTATTTTTATATTTATTTGAATATATATTTATTTGAATAAATAAATATTAAAATAAATAAATATTTATTTATTTGAATAAAATATATATTTTATTTGAAATAAATATGAAAGCAATTCATATTTATGCTGTTTATTTTAAAAATGTTTTTGTTTCTATATGTGCGTATACACACCCACACACAGAGCATTAGGATCTCAAATCAATTAAGTTGAGGGATGTAACCATTCATTAGCTGAAGAGATTTGAAGACATGGTTCTGGAAAGTCAGTGCCTTCTTAAGACTTGTCCTACATCATCAATATATCTTGCAACAAAATAAATAAGGTATGCCACAGAAAGCTTTAAAGAAGGTAACAGGATAAAAATCCAACGTGATTTATAGTACCACAAACTAGATTGACAACAATATTGAATCTATTTTGTTTCATTGTAATACACCCCACCATCTACAGCTAGTGGATGAGGTCATAACTACCATAACAGAGATACAATGTCTTAATACTAAGAAGTTTTAAATTAAATTATTTTGAAGTAAAAATAACTCTTCAAATTCTGTCCTTGAATGTTGCACAGTTAACTAAAAAAACCTGTACCATAACCAAGAGCAAATACTACAGAATACTACAAATACTAAGAATTGTAACACTACATTGGTAGTGCTAACTGGGAAATCTTAAAGGGTATTACAGTAAACCATGCTAAGGTTCATTAAAACTGTAATTTATATGGATTATTTTTACATTACTGTGCAAGAAGAAGCAATGAAAAACACTGGCAAATAATAAAGTACATCCTTTGTATGTGGCTATTCTTAGGAATCCAAACCAATCCGATTGATTTCTTTGAAGCACTTACATTGGGGTAATATTCCATCACCAATAAATATTCCATACGGCCGTCTGCAGTGAATCTCTCATCCCCCACAATGAAGCGGGCAATGTTGTCATGTTCCATCAGTGGAATCCTGTAAATGTTCCTCTCATTGACAAAGTTCTGACGATTAGCAAAAGAAAATACTTTCACAGCAACTGGACGTTCATCTAGGGAGCCTTTATACACTGCTCCGTATCGTCCCCGGCCAATCAACTGTAAAAAAATTTAAATAATTAGTTCGCTAAATAATAAATGAAGACAAAATCCAAGTTTTCACCCTATAAAGATTGTACACCATTTTTTATACTGACTTACACTATAAAAATAATGAATAGGGTGAATATTTTGTATTGAAACTAGAATTAGAATGTTTTATGCTGTCATAAAGCTATTTTGGAGCTGGAAACCTCAGAATAGGCCAACTTAGATTTTACTAAATTGATCTGAATACCCAGTAAATAAATCATAAATCAGCAGTTTTATATACAGAATCAATAAAATCCATGTGTTTTATGCTGCTCATTCTCTTATTAAACTTCTGCCTACTAAACGTTTATAGCTTTTATGTGATCAATTTTAATTAACTCCAGAGATCACAAACATTAAGCAAAACATTTCAGGTTTAGGACAGCTTTAAAAGCTGTACCTTTTAGGTTAGTAATAACAATATATGCATTTGTAGTACAAAACAGATACCAAAAGAGGTAAACAGATTTTAACAGAAAGGAATAAATTCCTTACTACCTGCCAATCTTTATTCTAGCTCCCACTATGTTAGACAGTCTTCACAGAATGTCCTTTCCCACCTCCATGGCAACTGAAGAAAAATGTAATCTCTGTTCTAAACCAGAATGTAGGACCACCTTCAGGAAGAGTCCTAGTTTCTAAAGCTCAAAACCAGTCTTAACTACATAAAAATTTAAGTACCTATTTCGTTCAAATAATTTTCAGAAAGACCTGGACATGAAACTGTAAAGAATTCATGGACCAGTATCTTTTTACTTTTTAAATACTTACACGTGGAAGAGGAGTGGAAAGTGGAAGGGATTACAAAAGTAATGTTTCTAAAGATGATAAAATTGTCTAACAGGAAAGTTTTCAACACTAAAATGTCCTTTAATAGACAGACTTTCTATTTCTCAGTCCTTCCATGCCAGTGGACTGCAAAGCAGCAGAGTCACTTCAAGGTACAAACCTGGAATGTATTCTACCCACAGAGATGTGAAAGGCAAGCACAGGTTACGACATTTGTTCTGCCACACCCTGTGATGGGGGGCGAGGAGTCAGCTCCTTAGGATTTAAGAAAGAGGACAGAAGACCCCATAGCAGATTTCTCCACCAACGTAGTTGGCTGCTTTTTCCGAGACTGCATATCAGTAAGAGTAATTTAATCTGGGCCTTTGCACACTGCTAGAATACACATTCTTACTCTGCCTCAAATACTTTTTTTGTTGGCAGAAGGCACTCAAATTGCTTTGCTGATTAGTCTGCTGTCAGCATTAGCCCAGACCATGTTGCATGTCAGCAGTCTGCATCTCTAGGTGTGATTTCTAATGGGGAAAAAGAAGAAAAGTACTATTTTCTGAATCTCTCTCAGTCATTCTACTGATTGATTTCTGGCTAAAAGCTTTTTAAAAATTCTGTAAATTCTATCAAACGTACCAATTGAAAGCGTAACATTTTGCAGCTTTCTGATGACACATCTAATACCAAGCTGAGTAGAAAGTTCTGGTTGGCCTTTAGTTGCCATGGAGATAGAGAGTACCCCACTGTGAAGAATGACTATACATAAATGCACCACTACTGAAATATACTGCCCCATCTGCAGCAAATTCTATATCCCAATAGGGTTACAAAAGCATTTCAAATGACTACAGTAGGATACTGTACTCAGTGTCAAGCAAAAAGATAGATCTTTTGATGCAATGCTGAAATATAGTGTATTCCAATTTTCCCCATTACCTCCCAGGGTTTAGTGTCTTCTTCTCAAGGTAGAACATGTTTGAGCTAATACCGACAATATTAAAGGCAAAATGTAAATGTGGCAACCTTTTTTTTTTTTCCTCCTTTTTTTTTTCCTTTTTTCCCCTCCCTTTTTTTTTTCTTTTTTCTTTTAATTTTTTCTTTTAATTTCTTCTTTAAACTGTGATTTACAAGAAAACATTACAGGAACACTGATACATTGATTTCTGTAACTATCTGGGACATGATATGACCGCAAGTGTTACATTAAATAAAAATGAAGATTAAGAAACTAGCTGAACATTTACCTCCAACAACTTTAGATTATCCAGATCCAGTGAGGGCTCTGATGCTGCTGCCTCCATCATGTTCATACTGTGCAAACCTTGTTTACGGTCTCCTGTGGAAATGGGTGGGGAGGGAATCAGACTGTTGTTTGGGGGGTTTTTTTGCCATGCTACAAGTGAAAACAACACAACTTACCTGCGACTTGGCAGAAATACACGTTGTAGGCAAGGACATAATAAGTGAAAAGGAATCCTGTAAAACCTTTTTGTAGTCAGTAAAAATCAGCAGTGAAGGTGCTGATAGATACAATCTTAAGGCTATGTGCTACACAACTATTGTGATAATTGAGTGTCACTGACAATAACTATAAAGCACGTTCACAACCTCACTTAAGCTGCTTTGAGCAGAGGATTTGCTGAAGGAAAATGAGTCCCAAAATGCCAGCTTGGAGAAATCATAAATCTCTCTAGACTGTTATGAAAGGGATATCACCATAAAGTGTCAGAGAGGAGAAAGGGGAGCATTATGTGCAAACATATAATAGGGACTGGGGAGAACGTAAGTATAACTTTGAGAAATAGTCAAAAGAAAAAACGGGGGGGGGGGTGCAAGCATCCTGTATCCAAAGAACAGAGCGGCAATCAAAACAGCCAGTACGGACACAGATGCAAGGGCAATAACTATAGTCTCATCTCGATGAAAAGAATGAGAAGAATCTGAAAGGAAACAAGATGAAAACTCTTTAATTGTAAATCTGAAAGAATCAGCACTAAAAAACATGTAATTGTTGTTACAATGAGGAAAAAAAGATTGCACTCTGGATTGTAAAACATTGCACTAAACTCTTTTTCCTCTTAAAATCTAGGGATGGCGAAAGAGCTGATTAGCCCAAACAGAGCTGAGACACATCCATGGGCATTTCATGGGCAGCTTTTCCCAGTCCTCCCTTGTCACCGCAGAGGGAGGTACCAACTGCAGAAAGTGAATCTTCTTTCTAGCTGGCAAAGTTCAGCCCAGCCATACAAGGCCAAGTTGATGCAATCCTGCTCTGCTATCTGCGCTTTAATCCAGTTTCCTGGTATGAATCAGGTTTGTAACCTTTACAAGTTTGGGTTTTTACTATTTTTCCCAGAATGAAAATCTTTAAAAAGTTTGCTAATAATGCTGCAGGTGTGATGAATACTGAATGTTTTGTATTCAAATATCTACATCATACATTAGATACAAATCCATTTGTGCAAGTATTTCAAAATACTTTGGGATTTTGATTTGCTTCATGTCAGCACTCAGATGATTTTTAGCATAATTCTCACTCTCTAATTCACAAAAAGACAGATATCTCCACAGACTGCAGCAGAGTATCAAGAAACCTCAAAGAACGAGGAAACACTAAAGAAAAATAAATTAACTACTTTTGTTGAGCCTTTTTAAAAATAACATTTGAATTTTGCCAAAATATAAGTATCTCGCATTTTCTTGGGAGGCAGGGGGGAGCGCGGCGACACTGGGGGGGGCCAGTGTGGAGTAGAAGTTTTCATGAAAAAATTTGTTAGTGTCATGAATGGTTAGCTTAATTCTTCTCCACATCAGACCCCACTCTTGCTTCTTGCAGGCATATAAAAATTCAGGCACTTTTATATAAAAATTTATTGCTGCAGATATTCCTCTGATGTCAGAATCACTGGAATGCGGCACTACAAGACCTCATTTACTTTGGCTGCAAACCCAGGTTTCGGAACTATGTTTAAACTCGTCTTAAATATTGCTAAAAGTACTCCTTAAAAGACTGTAATGAGACCTAACTATCCTAAAACCCACAAAATATAAAATGCACACAAGGCTTAATCATTGGGTAAATTTTTAGGTGAGACTGAAATACAATTTATCCCAGTCTACACTAGCTGCATAAACTGACAAATACATTTTGCTTGAACTGCATTTAAAAGAAATTTAACATGATTCACTTCTTCCAATTCCCAGTGTGGACAGACACAAGAGAACCAGATAAGAAGAGAAGGCAAATTTAAAAGACAACTGCTTCCATATTCATGTAACCATAATGGCAAGAGGAAATAATAAAAAGCTGGTAAAACAAAATACTTGAGAAAGTTTCATCTGTGATAGAAGCACATGAAAAATCACTCACAAAAAATAACATGCAGCTCATATCTGATCAGCCTTTTAAATAAGAGGGAGTTCATGGTAATCATGACACCATCAAACTCAAATTTGTTCTGTCAAAAGCAATACCATCACTAATGGCTTTGGTAAACTAAGTTTCACTGAGAAAATAAGCTATTGTCACAGAGCACAGTACTGTGGAACAGGAGTTGTGGCTTCCATTGCAAGGAGATGAAAAGATACCTGTTACAGTTCTCATCTAAATTATGTATTCAAAACATATACATACATACATACATGTATATTAAAACCCATAATATCATAGAGGAAACTGTTACATCATACAAAGCTATATGAAATATTATACAAGTCTAAAGCTGAATAATTGCTGGCAGGGAAATCCTAATTTTGACTTTCAGATTTTTATGAATGGATTTTCCTTTCTATTGGCTTATCTTTTAAAATATATATTAAATGTGGTAGGTTTTGCATCAGTTCAAGACAGTGCCTAGCATGTACTAAGAAAATACAGGTTTTCAGGGGCTGAACTTTTTGCTATAGTCTCAGCTATATTTTCTTTGACCACACAACTAGGGTGCAGCCATTTACAACCTTCCCATTGCTAAATATACAGTAATCATGAGAGCCCTCCTCTACCCTGGAACAGGATTTTGCTGTTCCTCCACCTCCAGCATGGCCCAGGGCAAGGGCATCCTGAGTAAGGGTTATTTAGCAGCTCTGGCTGCACTGGCACACTTGCTCTTTCTCCCATTAGAACCCTGTGAATGGTGGCATTATGCAGACTGGAGAGCTACTAGAAAATCTCCAAATAACAAGGTTTTGTGCTGATCGGCAGCAGAAAAACATGCAGAGAGGAAGGATTGTTGCTTTCTTGTTCCTTGATGGACCATCCTGTCTGGGGGCTTTTCCTCTTTAGTGACCTCTTTAAGTGAGTAGCTGTGCAGCCCCAGGTAACCTCAAAGAACTTACTTGGCCTTCAACAGGAAAGGATGTTTTAATTTTTTTTAAACAGAGTTGTTTCTTAACAAATCTTAGATTGGCTTATCTTGAGCCAATTTTTATTTCTTATAAACATTTTAAAATAATGTTGTCAACATTCCAGCAGCCAAGTCAGTCCTACAGTGTACAGTGTGACTTACTACTGTCAGGTTGTTGAGCAACATTTATAAATTTAAGAATAAATACAAATTTCTTAATAAGGGTGACTGAACAACTCAATGGAGTTGTAACGTGCAGCTCAAAACAATACGAGTGGATAAAACGCTACATATGACTGCCAGTCATTTCCCAGCAAGGACAATTTTACGATCTTTTACCCGTAAACCATAAAGAGAAAAGTGCAAAACAAACACAGTGACAAAAAGCCCAGATGGCCCCCAAAGCTCCATAAAAAGTATTATTTCTATCTGCCCTCTATCTGCTTTGTATGATTAATAACTTTAGGTATTGTCAGATTATAGGTCTTTCTTAAATAGAACAAAAAGGATGTCGCTTACCAACCCAGTTTTAAAACCTTCCAAACCTCTTATTAACTAATTCATTTTTTTTCAATCCATCTCTTTCGTTGGATATATTTCATCTTTAGCCGTTTACACCAGCTGCTGACTTGCCTTTAAATGTTTAGATGAGAAATGCTAGCAAAGCCAAAACTAGACAGGAGTTCTCAAGGCATCTGCAGAGGTTCACATTTCCTCTTTCATCTAATTTTAAGTAAAATGATATATACTTCATATGTATATATGCAGACAAGCCACAATTCTCTTGGTATTATTTGGAGATGCATTTTAACTAACTAACCAAAAGGCATGTCATTGTGGGTCAATAAAAGTAATTGATGACAGTTAAGCAAGGTACGTTTTAAATAAGAATGTAAAATACATATTGCATACACATTTCTTTTCATGTTTTCTTCCCTGAACTTAATGGTCCTGTCTGAAACAACCACGACTTCTTAAGACTAGGACATTCAATGAAAGTTTATTTGATATTATGCCTCCTATCAGTAGCTCCAGATGGATCACACAGCACAAACAAAATTTTCTGAAGCAAGACTTCGTTGATCTGAAACTGTTAACAATCCCATCCCCAAATCAGTGGGGATTTTAAAGTTTATTTACAATGACAAGACACCTGCCTTACAGCTTCAGTATTTTTCTGTCATGTCATAGTATGAACTGACTATAAACATGCATAACTACTATACAAAAATCTCATTTGAGTTTTTGGGATCATGACCAATTATTTGGGTATTTCTTTAGTGACAAATACAAACTGAACAAAACCCAAACTGTCCAACACTGGCTTCAAATTTCAGACTGGGAACACTGGTATCTCAATATTATTCCCAACCCAGTGTATAGCATTAAAAAAGCAATAGCATATGCTAAGCAGAATTAACTGCAGACTCTAGAAAAATCCAATGATTAAGAAGTTGACTGTGGAGCCAAATTTAACTTATACTTGTACACAGAAGGTATTGCCAAAGCTTCCTCAGGTTTATGTTACTGTAACTGAAAGCAGAGGTTAGTGTAGTTGCTTGTTTCACTGCTATTTATATGCGAGATTTTTATTTCTGACTTCCACATAGGCTCCCTGATCTAAAACAAAATCTGCCAAAACAAAAAATTAAAACCAACAGAAACTGTTGTAAGGCCCAAAACACCTTAAGAGCCAACTTCTTATTCCACTTTGATGGGAAAATGAGTGCACTGCTCACAGGGCTACAGACTCTTCAAGCAGCAGCGTGAGGATGCCATTTAGAAAGCACTAAGTACATACATGCTTCTATCTTGAAACATTTCTGCCAGTTTGACCCTAGTCAACATTTTTCTGAAGTCCACCAATCCCACCATAAAGAATTATCACAGAAAATAGTATGTCTTTTGTTTGTTTGTTTGGGGTTTTTTAGGGGTTTTTGGGGGGCATATGTGTGTCTGTGTTAAATAAAAAGAAACAAAGCATGACTCATTAAAACAGAGACAACCTCCTTCTGGCTGGGGAGCAGCTGGTAACCAACAAGCCACTGTTCCCAGAAGCGTCCTGACCTCAGCATCAATAAAGGGCTTGTTTCTGGGTTCCAAAACTCCGAGTACAACAGCTCCTGTGTACGGAGAGAATTTTGTCAAAGGTACACACAAATAATTGAGAATGCATTTCAGAGCAAACTGTGAAGGGGAGTGCTTCTAGTACTTGGTTAGAAGTGAGTCATCTGGCTGAACCCAGCCATGAACTTCAGATACTCCCTGCAGGCACTTCTACCACATCAGGGATTTCTCTCTCTTCTCTCAGCCATCACTGACATAATAGTTTCCAAAAACTTATACAATATCTTTGGTAAATTAATTTTTTAGAATTAAGCTTCCATATTGCCACACATGGAAGTTGTCACTGCTGTCTCCCTAAGCTTTCCTTGGAATGACACAGAATGAAGAATGCTGACAGTGCCAATGGCATCAGAAGAAATATTTTTCCTTCAAATTATTTTTTCCACCATAAATATAAGCTTGTAATATTAACTAATGCAAAAGTTCTCCAATCTGTACCTATGCCTGAAAAAGCTGCTTCTTTGTTTCTC